CCAGTGGAGCATCCCCAGCGTGAGGTTACAGCCCCTGCCTTCATCTCCTGTGTCTTCCTCTGCAGAGGGGCCCGGCTTCAGCAAGGGGTGGAGAATGGTCCCACCATGGGTTATGGGACAGCCTGGGGAATCTCCTGGGGGCTGGGACATCCCCTGGGTTTGGCGTCAGAGCGTTACAGTCCCTGAGAGCTGCAGTCTCAGGGTCTCGACTCCCCGGTGGAGGCCACAGGAAGACAGCGGGGTTGGTGAGGTCCTCACCAGAACGCGCTGGGGGAACGGATATTGCGACATTTTGGGAAAAGATTTGGGCTGAAGGGTGTTCCTCAATTGTACTGCGCTAACCAGAATATTTGGAAATGTTTTCTATTTAAACTGTCAACTGTTGGAACAGTTGTGATCAAAATGTGGCTGGAAGACACTCGAGCAGATGTGCACGGAGGAATCTGAATGATGCAATGGTTTTCTTTGGCCCGAGAGGCTCCCGTGTGGTTTTTGGGTGGGTGCTGGGTGGCTGGGCAGGGCAGGGCAGGCTCTGAGCGGGGTCTGTTTGGCTGCACCCTGCGATGGCTCAGCGAGGCCCAGGCCGGTCGGGTGCACGGCCGTCGGGAGCTCCCGTATGTCCAGCTTCGTTACCGCTGTTCCCAGTTCAGACCATTAAGGGGCGTTCCCCGCAGTACGAAGTGAATTGCAGAGCCTGAATTGCAGAGCCGTTCCCAGAGGTTCGCTGGTTTGGGCAATGCATTTTTAGGCTCTTGTGTGTCAGTGTTGTGCGAAAGCCCTAATAAAGCTGCTGTTGTGAAGTGTTTGTACACCCTGATCTGTTCCTCGTGCCTCAGAGCAGGATTCCCACCAAGGGGGTCTCCTTCCCTCCCAGTCCTCACCAGCCCTTCTTTTGGGGACGTTACTTCAAGCACGTCCTGAGCTCTTTTTGCAGGCGCACTCAGCCGTTTCCTTCCTGGGTTTCAAAAGATGCTCGGGACATCTTTATTCTTTATAACAGTGGAGCCTCTCAGGGTGAGGTGCTACCTTGTGTAAGCTCAGCCACTGCGGGGGGAAGTGCACGGGCTTTTGGGCAGAGTTTACCTTGAGCCTGAGCCTGTGCATTAATGCCTGGAAATGGGGATTGCTGGTTACTGTGAGGCTGTGGATCAGGAAGGGATGTGCAGAGCTGCTTTTGATAACAGCTGAGCCCCTGAAGAGTCTCAGAGCATGAAGTTTGCTGTGGATTCTCACTTCTCTGACGTAGTGAGGGTTTGTGTTGAAGCTCCATGTCCTGCTTTGGCTGCAGAACCAGCGTGGGCAGTAAGCACAACCCCTCCTTTGGAGCAGAGAGGTCAGGTCCTGAGTCACGTTCACAGCTGAAACACAGAGTCCAGGGCTGTGCCGGTGCCCAGCGTTGCTTTAGAAGAGCGCTTACTTGGCATCCGTTAGCAGCAGTCATCAGTGCAAACAGTAATTAACTCCTTTCTCAGGGCGCCAGCGCTGGGGTCAGCGTTTCTGCCGTGCTCCATCCGCTCTGAAGCGGGGCTGTAAGCGCAGGAGCCATGGCCGCACCCCCACGGCTGTGGCTTCAGTCCATGCCCAGCCCTTGAGGTGCCTGACCCCGCTCCACGCAGGGGCTGGGGTAGCGGTGATTCATCCGCGATGCTTTGGGGAGGGGTTTAATTTCTTTCTGTTGTTTTTTTTTTTTCCTGTTGTTTTTCTTTTCCTTGAAGGTCTCCAAGTTGCCAAACCTCCGCTCCCTCAGTCAGCTCCTGCTCCTCGACATCATAGAGTCGTTAGCAAACCACATATCCGACAAGCAGTGCGCGGAGCTGGGCTCAGACATATGACACGCTTGGGTAATCCAACTTTTCATTTGTTCCTCAAAAAACCGAGCACTTTACAGCTGACTCTTTTTAACCATTCCATACCGAGCTGCTCCCAACGTCCACACAACATCGCAGGCGGCCCAGATGAGCACGGGCTCCTGACGCGCTCTCCCACAGCTTTCCTTGGTCTGTGCCCCTGTGGAGAAGGGTTTGGGCTCTGTCACGCAAATGTAAAATCGAAAATGAGTTTATTCCACGTGGTTTTGGGAGTAGCTAAGTTCAGGATCAAGCCCATTATTACTTTTATACTGTAAATAAAGCAGTTATGAGTAAGAGAGTCGTGAATACTTTGAAACACAATATTTAAAGAGTACTATTTAAAGAACTGGCACAGTCAGAGGCTCTGTGGGGAAGTCAGATACAACAGAACTGCAAACACAGAGCGTGGTGTTTGCAGTGAGGCCGAATGTTGGACCAGGAGGTGGTGACCCCTCCGAGACTCCATGGTGGGGATTAAATCACAGCTGCCTGGGCTGGGGCTGCAGGAAGCCCAGACCTGTGCTGTGCTGTGCTGTGCTGTGCAGTGGGTCAGGCCAGGAGATTACAGCGATCCGTTCTGACCAGCAAAGCCATTAATCCTGTCTCGCTAAGCCTTTCTAAATCAATTTACTAATAAAGAGTTAACATCTTCTCCTGGCATTTCATGACTGACTTGGCTTTCATTTTGGAAAAAATTAAGCAAAAAAGAGCTCTGGGCTTGATGAAGGTCACTTTGTTAAAAATAAGCGTGCTACATCTTGTTACTAATTTTACGCTGAAGTGTCTTTGTGAGTGGTTGCCTTTGCAGGAAGGTGAATGAAGGCAGAGCGCCCTTCCCAGCCGCTGCGGTTCCCTCCCTCCCGGAGCAGCCCCCGCCGTGCTGGTGCTTCCCCCAAGGCACTGGGGAGAGGAGCTTCGCTTCTCCTGCATGGTGCAGCATCGCAGATTGGGTGGTGCTGGTGAAACATCTGCAGACAGAGCAGCTCCAGCCCTGCCCAGAGCCACCCCGGCAGCACAGAGCAGGGGTGACCCAAGGCCAGAACCAGACTCTTGCTCTGCCTCAAGCTGCAGCCGTTCGCAGAGGTGAAGCAGGAGGCGGTGCTGATGCGGTGCTGCTCTGCTTGGCTGTGTGGAAGGGCGAGAGTTGGCTCGAGCTGGAGCAGTGGAAGATCCCTCAGGAGGAGCAGAGCTGCCCAACCCCGGTGTGTCCACCCCTGTGGCTGTAATTTTTAATTCAGGCCCATGAAGTGTTCCCGGTGCTGTGCGAGCAGCGAGCTCCTGTTCAGCGTCTGCAGCTCGACGTGCACATGTGTGCTTGGGGGTGCCGAGGGCAGTGCGGTGTCTGTGCAACGGGGAATGCCTTGTTTCACTCAGTCCAAGGGATGTGCTTCAGGGAACACTCAGTCTCGCAGCTGAGGGCTTGCTCAGTGAGTGAGGGCAGAGGTGGCAAATGTGGCAAATGCATCTGAGAGCCGAGGGCTCGTTACCGACCTGAGGGATTATTTCCAGATGCCTCATGGGTCATGAAGTCTCCTATCAGAGGTCATGTTAATTGCACCGCCAGTCTGCGTGTTCCCCGGGAAACCAGAAGATCTGCATATGGAGACAGTTTACACACTGCAACTTGTAAGAGTGCTGCAAGTTATTTTCAGCAAAGCCAAATCCACAAGAGGACACCCGTTTCCCGAACACGCGCAGCCTCGCTCCCTCAGTAAGGAAGAACGGGCGGATTTCAACCGTGCCATAACCAGCTCCTTTGTCTTCTGTTGTCTCAAACTGTTTGGGGTTTGGCACTTACTCCTGAGCTCATATGTGAGGAAATGCACAGCCTCTGCAGCATCTGAGCTGGGGCTCTGTGGGCAGCTTTGCTTTGGAGGTGGTTTTTGGCTTGGTCCTGGCTCTGGTGACTGCAGTGTTTGGGCAGTGCTGTTGCATCAGCCGGGGTTTGGTGTCTGAGAAGTCGTGGTCTGCAGTGCTGGTGCATCACCAGGATTTGCCTCTGGGCTGCTGTTGTGCAGGGGGCCGGGTTCGTGCACCCCTCAAGAGGAGCCCTGAGCTGTCCCTGAAGGGGCTGTGGGAGGTCCCCCCACGGGGCTGGGGCTCAGGAGCAGGGGAAGCACCAGCGCTGACAGGGGAATGGGAAAATGGATCAGGTCTATGGGGCACCCCTGGGCTTCCTAAGGGATTGAAGAACAGACGACCCAGCAACAGAGGGTGTTGGAGGAGCTGCTGCAGGGGGGGTCATTTGTGCTTCCTAAGACCATGGGGTGTTTTTGTCACCACCTCAGAGCATCCTCAGCCATTTGAGCCGCTTGCCACAGGGGCTGTTGTGGGCAGCAGGTTCCCAGGGCTCCTGGTGTCAGGGTGGCCTTGGCAGTTTTGCTCTGGCATTTTGGGAAGTGTGATCACGTTCCTGTATTTGGTCAGGAATTATTCCTACAGCCTCTGCCCTATGAAGGCCACTCTAAAGCCCTCAAGGTGCTTTACTGGTGTCAGTGTCCCCAGGGGTATTTATCCCAGCAAACTGCACAGAGCAGGTCCCAGTAACCCCATGGCACCCGCTCTGTGCCCGTTTGGGTTTGCGGTGGCTGCTCACTGGAGCAGGGAGGCATCCCCTGGGAGAGGGACCAGGGCTGGGAGAGCAGGAACGCCCCCCTCTCCCCAGTGTGATGGGGGCAGACACCTTGGTGTCCCAGCTGATTCTCTGCCTTCTGCAGCACCCAGGGGTGCTGAGGCCAAGAGGTCCTAATTTTGCCGCTCCCCTCCTACCACAGCAGCTGCAAGGGTCCCCACAGGGTCAAGCCTTCCCCTCCCACCCCTTCAGGCAGAGGACGAGCTCTCCTGTCCCTGCTGCCACATGGGACCAGTACAGTTTGGCAGGACACTGGCAAGGACTGGTGCAGATCAGGGCCTCAGCCACCTTTGACTGCTCCAGCCGTGCCGATGCTGCTGCCAGCCCCATCCTCAGGGCTCGCAGGGTCCCCTCCAGGGCAGAAGTCATGCTAATGCTGCCCATGGGTCGCTGGGAACAGGAAAAGCATGAGAAGAGAAAAATTACATCTTTTAATAAGGAAATGTGTGCAGTGATGGAGAAAGGGCTGAGGTCCTGCCAGAGGACGAGCCCGTGGAGGGAGCGGAGCCCAGGCTGCGTTAGTCCTCTGCCTCCTCCAAGCCCAGGATCTTCTTGACGTAGTTCTGGACGTTGACGTGGAGCTGCGGGGCCGTAGCTGAAAAGGTCTCCATGGCCAGGGCCCGGGCCACCTCCGACCCAGCCCACATGGCACGGTAGAGGGGCAGGGTGTACTTCTGCTTCCCCTGCAGAGACAGAGCGGGGGTTACACCCCAGTGCGGTGAAGGCCCAGGAGCCCCACATCCCCCCAAGGGCACCACACCTCCAGCATTGCCCTGCTCTTGGCCAGGACAGGGCGGAAAATGCCACCCTTGGCACTGCAGCCCCTGGAGCGGGGAGAAGCCCCTGGCTTTGGAGAAGGAGCAGGGCCAGGAGAAGCTCCAGGGGCATGAGCTCGAGTTCAACAAGACCAAGTGCAAGGTCCTGCACCTGGGTGGGGGCAATCCCCAGTACCAGTACAGACTGGGGGCAACTGGAGAGCAGCCCAGCAGAGGACTGAGGGATACCAGGGGGTGACAAACTGGACATGAGCTGGCAACGTGTGCTCACAGCCCAGAAAGCCAACCATGGCCTGGGCTGCATCCCCAGCAGCGTGGTCAGCAGGGTGAGGGGAGGATTCTGCCCCTCTGCTCTGCTAAGCCCTCCTGGGGCACTGCCTCCAGTTCTGGGGTCCCCACTGCAAGACAGACGGGGACCTGTTGTAGTGCGTCCAGAGGAGGCCATGGAGGAGAGGGCTGGAGCAGCTCTGCTGTGAGGAAAGGCTGAGCTGGGGTTGTTCAGCCTGGGGAAGGCTCCAGGGAGCCCCGACTGCAGCCTTTTCACATAGAAAGGGAGCTGCCAAGAAAAACTGAGAGACTTTTGATTATGGCCTGTTGTGACAGGACAGGGGGCAGCGGTTTTAAACAGAGAGGGCAGGGTTAGACTGGACACAGGAAGGAAATGTTGTACACTGAGGGTGGGGAGATGCCAAACAGGTTGCCCAGAGAGGTGGTGCAGGCCCCATCCCTGGAACCACTCAAGGCCAGGCTTGATGGGGCTCTAAGCAACCTGATCAAGTTGTAGATGTCCCTCCCCATGGCAGGGGTTGGACTGGATGAGTTTTGAAGGTCCCTTCCAACCCAAACCATTCTGTGGGTCTATCAAGAGCAAGAGCCAGCCGCCAGCCCCCTGCTGCAGAAGGGCCTGTGCCCTGTGCCCGTCTCTTCCCCGAGGGCACAGCTCGGGACAAACCTGGCTGTGGAGGAAGTCCTTGACTTTGCTGTACTCGGCCTCGA